ATGACTGGGAATCTTCACAGACTACAATCTAACGTATCGCGCATAAACAACAGAATACTGACGTAGGCTATAACCGACTAGTCTGGTGGGGTTTTTTCACATGGCTGAAGGGATTTAATGCTTTTCATACAGTCTAAATCAGCTGTGGACAACAGATATTGTATGAAACACTCATATTTATTTATATCAATTCAGACTGCTTCATTGGCATCCTTGCTTTAAACACAATAAACGTTTTTACTGTTAACTTTTATGCTGATTTGGTCTGGTTGGAGAGTGATTTATTAAAATGGTTTATTTTCATTTTAAGCATTATTCTGTTATTAATGTACATTTGCTCCAAGTATTTAGTTTGCTCTTGTTATTAAAATTAAAAAAGTGGCAGCGAAGTGGCACTGCACCAGAACCAGATGTGTTTCTGAAATGTCTATTTTCAAAACAAAGTCGAAGACAAATTTTCCACCAAATTACCAACAACTCGCTTTGAGATGCCTCATTTGAATGAACCTCCCACCTGTTTGTGCCTCTCATCTCACATGGCTGGGTACAGCAAATTTTCAGATCAGGTAAATGGCAAAAGTCGAAGCACTACTACAGGGATGGTCATTGTATTGCCATAAAAATAAGGTCCCTTTGTCTTGTTTATTGAGAAATACCTTAAATGATTTATTGATTATCTTTGCTACCATGAATTTATTTTCTATTGAGTAATCAATAATCTACTAAGTATTGTAACACAACATAGTAGATTACTTTTGACAACAGGTGATCACACAGTACCTTGGCATAAAGGATACAAGCATCAATGTCCTCAACATCCTATCAAAACCAGCAGTCGAAATCCCCTCCGACAGGTGAAATAAATTTTAATATATCAAGGATGAATCAAAGATTGCTGTAGTCCTGTTTATAAAAACCATTTACGAGCCACAGAAAAGAACAATACATACTTTGCTGTGTTAATCTAAATGCACTCTCTGGGTTCTGCTATACTAAAAATAAATAAATAAATAAAAGGCATTTGCACATTAGTATTTGGCTGAAGTCCGGTTTGGACACATTTAAATGATGAAACCTATGTTATAATTTAGATGCTGCAAAATGTGGCCATTATCATTATTTTAGTGTGAAGGTGTGGGTAAGGGTAAGTTCTGTTCATGAGCAGACCCTCGCATATATGAAAACCAAATATGTTACAACCAATTCAAATTTTAGCAGTACACACTAAGAAGAAAACAACATGAGTGCAGAGAGACCACTTAGGAGACAAGAGTAACTCATTTCAATAATGCATTCATAAGACGAAAACAGTTCCTTCCAAGTTCTGCATTTGGCTTCAGAGGAACAGTCCTAATTTCATTAGTGGACTATACAGGATCTGACTTGGTGTCTGGCGACTGAACCAGTTACTCAGTGATGTGGTACCTCTCTCTGGATCAATGCTATTTTGTCATTCATCTTGCTTTCAATCTATGATACACATATATTGGTTCACGGACGGAATTTTAATTTGGAGCAAATGGCCCGCAGTTTCTGCCTCGAAAAAATAACCCCAGATTTGTGGTTGTGGTACTTCTTCAGGTGATGAGCTGTATACAGCATGTTTTTATACTTAATTCTTTTTCAATTACAAATTATCAAAACCTATTAAAGTTCAGGCTACGAATAATTTCAGTCACATTCCTATAATAAATGTACTTAAGAAAATTAACATACATAGTATATATAGAGTATTTATGCTATATACATATAGACAATTCTTAGTTTTATTTTTTTATGTAATTTGCTGAAAAAAAGAAAACATTACATCAGTCATATCTTTTAACTGTGCTGGCCAATCATAGGAGTGGGTGATATGAATGAAATATTCAATGATGTGTCATAATATCGATTGTCACATTACATTTTATCAAAATTCAATCAAGGAATTGTTTGTTGATCGAGCGGCTGTGGCTCAGCAGGTAGAGTCAATCCCTGGCTCCTTCTGTCCACATGTCGATGTGTCCTTGAACAAGACTCTGAACCCCAAACATAGCACTGCTCCTGGTCCTCTCTCTCCTGAGCCTGTTTCTCCTGACCTGTGGCCTCCAAGTGCCTGTGTAGGTCTTCCCAAAGCTTCTACGGCGGCGCACTTTCCATAGTCTCCCCCACAGCAGCCCACAATCTCAACAACACAGTCACATGCCACATGCTTGGCCTCTGCTTGCTTGCCCACCAATTAACCCTCTGCCAGAAGAAACAGTGCATCAATCCTGGATTGAGGCTTTAAGAGATTGTATTGCGATCTGTGGCAGTGAGAAGCCTGTAAATATCCCGAAGGGCTGAATGGTGTTTAAAGAAAAGGAGAAATCAATGAACATGCTTCCAGGGTCACAATGTAATCAGCAACAATCATCAACAGTCATCAGTAGGAGAGTGGGACAGGTACACAGCACGGGTGAGGTAAATGGGTGGTGGTAGTGGAATCTGATGAGGCTGGTAGGTAAGCCGGGTAAACTGACCGGCAAAGGGAGTGGTACTGGGACCTGCGTCCATGTTAGAAGGCAGGACTTGTTTGCTTCATCTTTTCCAATTCTACTTTACACTGTCTTCACAGAAACTTTCTTTCCATTTGTGAATGTCATATATGTGATATCATTATAACAGCAGCAGTTCAAGGTGAAGGCTAATTGAGCTAAATGGAGAGTGTGACCGTTGTTGAGCCCCATGAGGGCCCTTTATTCTGGGCCACTTCTCCAAGGTGTGCAGGAAAGGACAGCAGCCATCAGCTCCCATTTTCAGTAAACCAACAATGTTGTCATGCCCCAGTAAGGTCACCATAATGTCCTTCATGCAGATGAAAAATTGTTCACCAGTGCTTAGCTAGCTTTACAGACAATTTGTGTAAAAAACAATTAATATAGCTCCCTAAATGTCATGTTCACACAGTTTAATGCCTGCAAATATATGGTGATGTTGTTGTTATAAACAATAGATGATTGATTAAGCTGATGATCCTATTTGTGTTTCCATTTAGACCAGTTGTGCTTCATCAAGAGCCCCATAGTGTGAAATAATGGCATATTTCATTATTTCCCATGGTGGGAATATGCCAGTAGAGAGATAATCCTTTTCAATAGAAGCTACACCAGAAATTAAGCATTCTGTCCCTGCTGTGTGCTTTCAGTTGCTAAAAGGGTGGGATCAGCATATCTTGACAGCCCAACACTTTGAAACATGACTGGGTGATGGAGCTGCTCAGAAGTCAAGGGGGAACAAGTGCAGGCTATACTCTGGTAAACACAACTCATCAAAAAACACCAGGCACACCATGTCTTCCCCCTCACCAGTCAGAAGGCAAACACATACAGAGTATTTTGCTTGTAAAACATTATATAAAATGAATTAAAAAAAATTTCTGAATTGATAGAAAGCTAATCTCAGGGCCTGAAAGTACCACAACCACAACCATTTGATATGAAATCTCATAAAAAGCCCTCCTACTTTTTGCCGATATTTATTATTTCTTTACAGACAGGATGAAGACAAGCAAGGAAAAGGTCGCAAGCTAATGTGAAATCACCCTTTCAACTGTCCCCCGAGCACTGCCACTTTAAGTTGTTAGACGTTGAAAGGCTTGCTTTGCCTTTGCCATCAGATCCTACAAGAAGAACAGGTGGTGACGGTCTTTGTGTGCTGTCATCTCTAATTCAGCAGCAGTGGAAGCTCCTGCAACTCAGCCAACCAGGTTAGATAATGCACACAACAGACTTCTCAATGATGCAGCCACACTAGCAACATCACACCGACTGACACACACCCTTGATTTACAAAGGACTGCTCAGCTCTCTTGCTTATAAACACACTGTTTACTGACTCTAGCCATGTCTCGCCTTCATTCATGTCAATATAACAATTGATTTTTGAGACAAATCAAAGTGCAAGGAATAAAGAGAAACGCTTCAAACAAGTCTGCAAGGGACTTGCTGAGTGACTGACTGACTGAATAATCCCGTGAAGGAATCGGTACTAACTGAAGTAAAGCTTAGTGGAGCTCACAACATTAGACCAAAGGCACTACTTAAAAAGCTGCTTTATTAAAACTAAACATGTCAGATATTCAGCTTTAATAAATGCATTCTGGAGCAGGAATTAAATGGTATTTTGTTTCCTCAGCACTACTTCAATTCAAGTCAATTTGCATATTCATAAAATGCTGCCTTTTTGGTGTATTTACCTGACCACCAAACCTGGAGTTAAGAGGTGATAATGTATCCTATTAATACAGAGGCTATTCTAGGGGTCCAAGAAGCACAGCACCTCCATGGTTTTGACCATGGCCAGGGTCAATCTGAAGGGCAAATTGACAACTGAGGGTTTGACACCTGCTTTGCTAAGACAAATCAAAATATGCCCACACTCTAGTTAGATTAATTAGAATCTAAACAGTGTTAAACCTCCCCTGGTTATAGTCCAAACCCTCTTGTGTCTCCGCCTGTCTTGTGCAGCCAGAGGATCCACAAATCCTCTATGAGCCCCCCACTGAAATCGTTCAAGATCAGATTATCCAGATTTTTGTCATAAAGCGTTTAAATCAATGCATAGCCTACATGACCCTACTGAACAGCTTATACAGAGATTATATATGATTGTATTCTGTTATTTCCCCCTCCTGTTAGAAATTCAAAACAGTGCTAATGAATAACCATTGAATGTGCTACGCAATGCACCCCCACATGCGGTCATGATGTCCACACAGAGACAACGTCTCTGACGAAAGAAACATCTGCAGCCCATTGATGACAGACGTCTGGCTATAAACGCAAAGCAAACACTGAAATGTTTGTGTAATTGAATGACAGCCCCTTTAATCAGAATGTGCTCTGTAAGCAGCAGAATGACAGGGAGAGAGACAGGGAAAAGTAGCCTAAATCTACCTGATCACCACCCCGTTGCGCGTCAATAGCACGCCCTACAACACAAGGTGATTTGAGAAACAGGAAACGCAGGTCCCCACTGACCTGAATCGTGCAGGTGTACTCCGAATCGTCCAGCAGCCTCACAGTGCAGTTGCATTCCCTGTCCAGACTCCTGATGCTGCTGCTCATCAGTCTGCTCAGCATCTTCTCGATCGTCTGTGTACGGGACCAGGGAGAAGGGCGCACAGCACATACATACAAGTTTGATCTTCTGTCTCGTTAACGACGGCCCTGTTCTTTGGTCCAACACCTGGTCAGCGGCATTGACTGTGCGAAGCGGCGGCGGTGCATCGTTTTGTTAGTGTGTGAGCGCGGCTGGCCGGGGTAGCCTACCACACGGTGCGTTTCTTCAGTCAGTAAGAGGAGTGAAAATAGTGCTGCTCTCTCTCGCTCTCTCTCTCTGGTCCGGTTAGACTGTTACCCCACACCACACCTTCTCCCCCCCGTCTCCTCGCCGTTGCCATGCCGCTCTAAATGCTGCTGGGCGGGCCGAGGTTGGTGAATGGCGAGTCTGTCAGCCAACGGAGCGATGACTTGAGACGCTGCCTTCACAGAGTTAACGACAGGAGCCGAAATTCCGATAGGCTGGTGTTCGTCGTGACTGTAGCCACATGGTGGGGAATAATAACACAGTTGTGGGGGAGTGGGGGGATCAAACAGGCAGGGGCTTTGTGCTGCTGCAGAAGTTGATAAACGAGTTGATAACTGACACTCAGCGAATGACATAATCATGAAATACATTACTTTAACGTTATTGAAACGGGTTCAGGGGTCTCAATGACTTGACGTCACATCTCGACAGCAAGGCATGAGCCGGTTTCCCATTTAGGCTACCACTTTGCTGGCTCGCGCTCCTTGTTAAATTGCGATATTTCCGAAAGAACTTGAATGCAGCCAAGCATTTTAACATTATTTCCTCCACAGGTTGATTCCTTGTACCTAGCTACATCTCATGATGTCAGCACGACTACGGTGTAAAATGTATCCTTGTAAAACTAAGGGAACATTGTTTCCATCTAATGGTATTGATGTGTGCGTCATGTCTCAGTAACCAGAGTCAGTTCGGTAGGGGAGCCAGTGTGGGCTCGAAAGTTTTACCTTTTGTAAATGTAATAAATGCAAAATAAATAGGCCTAAAGGGTGCATTCTACAGTGTTGAAAGTGCATGGGAAGCAGAAGTCGTGAAAACCCATAAACAATAGACGCAGGACGTGGATGCATCTCTTCCAGCTTTAGTCTGGAATAGTTTAACAGTTGTTTACCTTAGGGCTACCAGCAGAATGCAAACAAACGACACAAACGCACCCTCTATAGCCAATCTTGACAACTTTTTTCTGTAAGTATTTGCTGTCACTACCTCTAACATCAGAGAGAACGGCCTGTGTTGACTGGGTTTGAGCCAACCTGTTAACTGTAGGCAGTCTCTGTGTCCTTGACGATGTCTCGCTCTTGTGGTGCTTTATGGTAAGGACAAGACTGCGACTGCGGTCAAGTAAGGGTTAAGCCCTCTGAGCGAGCTGACACACAGGGTTTGCACTATTCTGTCACTTTTCTCACTTTCCAATGACAAGCGCTGCAGTCTGACAGCCATACCTGAAGTGAAGCTATGAAATCTTAATTGTAAGCAACGCCAGCACACCACACAATATTGTGTCGGACTTGATGAACTTTGCACAAGGATACACATGCGATAGGCCTGCATATTTCAGTACGGTGGTAAAAAGTAAATAGGCTATATAGGCCTATTTAGCCTATAGAAATACTATTCATTTGAAATATTCACAGGAAGTATAAAACATTTAGGCTTCCTGTGTTCCTTAAAAGTAAAAAAAAAAACACTAAAATTATAGGGAAATGAAGTTTTATTTTGTCCCTTGAATTGCTTTTAGGGACATCTAGGCCTACTAAATTCTGAAATAATGTATATTTCAGAATTTAGTAGACTGGAAGTTTGTCAAATAAACTCAATTTGATAAATAACAAGTGAGAACAGCAACAAAAAGCATTTTGAGCCTTGAAGTGCACTTTTGCTGAAAGCTTTGTTATTTCTAACCCGGCCTCTGTCACGCTGCTGCCACCACTCTGCTGTTGTGCTTTATATATTAGGACCGCATGATTATCATACAGACCCAGCCCAATTCTTGATATTATAATTGCGATTGTAATTTAGATTTGATATTGGCCTAACTGTCATTATACTAAATAGGCCCACATATTTTGTGCAGGCTATTCCTTTAGTGGATGTGGACATTAAGCGTTTTAATTGCATTTCTAAACGTAGCCTACGTAGGCTAGTTTTCCTGGAATTAGGCTATGAACAGCAAATAGCCTATTAGTAGTTGATCTGAAATAGCTATGATGTCATAATGTGGTTTGTAGTCGACATAGCAATTGTGAGAAAAGGTCATTTTCGTCCTTTTTGGCTGCTCCAAGCACCTGTACCGTAACAGCGGGAATATACGTGCATCAAAATCCAAGCGGCGTCTCACCTAAAAAATTATGCGGATTTGCTACAGCCTGGAGCAGAGCACAGCTGCCCCGTCGCAGTCGGTGCCGTGGGGCGACAACTCCTGCGTAATAGCTTTAATTTCTGTTGTAGGCTATTTTTTCACTGGACTGACATCTTACCTCTTGCTTTCAACGTTAGGAGTCACCCACCAAAAACTTTTAAAGCTCTCCGTGTAGAAAGACGACCGATATTGTCTAAAATGTTTTTTGTGTGTGTAGATTTTGCCACATAATTACAAAAAATAGGATCGAAAAACCGAAAGCAATAATCGTTTAAAGCAAAATCAACTCATCTGCCGTGACATTGTCCCACAATGCCGTGACCCGGATTCGAACCGGGGTTGCTGCGGCCACAACGCAGAGTACTAACCACTATACGATCACGGCGAGCTACGATGAGCTGGCGGATGACGGAGGGTGAAAACATGGTGTCTTTCATAGGACTGTAGTATGGCGTTCAGTCAGATCGCGGTACCGTTCACACTGCACTTTCTGTGTAACCTACTTGGCCTAATCAGGAATCTTGAAATCTTTTTTTTTACACACTACATGACTGCCTAACAAAAAATAGTAGGCCCCCTCCGCATGATAAGACTGGGTTCATTGAGAGAGCTACTGCGGATGACAACAGAGCCTGTGTCTGCTCTCATTGGCTGTAGCTCGGTGCATGGCTCCCCAACACGACCAGCCTGTTTGATCTCTTTCGGGCATCGGCGAACTCTTGGATCGCGTCTTTAAACAGCAACACATTGCGATTACTCTGATTTGGGGGCTTTTGTCGGACATCTCCAGAAATTGTCGGCATGAGGAAAAACCAGGGCTACTGGGTTTCCATCCTGTAGTGTGTGAACTCGGCACATAATCCCCGTGTACTGCAATGCTTGTATTGTTGATCGTCAACCTGGAGGGGGAAAGAGCCAGTGGAGGCAGTTACCCAACACTCCCTCAGCCGCTGTCAGTAATGTTATGATTTTGTAGCAATGTTTTGAGCATTACCTTCTTGTATTGTTTGCACTACAGTGACATCTGGTGTACAAACCGACAAACTGCCGGGGCTGCATGCGCTCTGCTCTGGTTGGCTTATCTTTCTGCCGACGTAGCAGAGCTTCCCGTTTTGTAAGCTGTTATGTGACCGTGCTGGTTACCAAACCAATTTTTTTCTGCAAACACGACTGAGCGGGATAGTAAGTATTAAGGTATAATTAAGGTAAAGTTTGGCTTCACAACTGTGCATAATTATTTTGGTTTAACTTGCGTGTAACTCATTGACGCTGAGCCACGGTGTCGGTTCGCTGTGTTTAAAAGTATATGCGTTGTTTCTGCAACTGTGTCGTTTTGTTGGTTTAAGAAATAGACATGAATTTGAGTCGATGCCAAGCCCTTCCAAAAGTATTACTTTCAAGTTCTTTCAAATGTGGACATCATAAAGATTTAAGCTCATGTTCTTATATTTGCCACCAATCTTTATACCGTGGTCTGAACATGCTGATCTATACTGTGTTTAGAGAGACTTCTCTACTAGCAGCCACCCAGTTCACCTGTTGCAGATATCTGTTTAAGTCTTTTAGGAACCATAGTGGAAGAAAGTCTAAAGAAATGTCTGTTATTGTGTTCACAGGTTTACAGGCATGGGTCATACATGTATTCACTGGTTCCGCAAGGGACTCAGGCTGCATGATAACCCAGCACTCATGGCTGCTCTGAGGGACTGTAGGGAGCTCTACCCTGTGTTCATCCTGGACCCTTACCTCCACAACAACACTTGTATGGGTATCAACCGCTGGAGGTTTCTCATCGGGGCACTCAAAGACCTCGACTGCAGCCTCAGGAAACACAACTCCAGGTAGACACAGGGGCGACATGTAGACATATTGACTATTAAGAGAGTTAAAAAAAAAACCCATCTATAACAACCGTGATTGCCATTATAAGGCGATTTCAGGATTTTAGTCAGACTGGTTGTGGTTGTGCTGATGTTATTCTATACATATTGTTATTATATCATGTTGTGCTGTGTTTGACAGGCTGTTTGTTGTGAGAGGGAAGCCAGAGGATGTGTTGCTCAAGCTGTTCAGCAAGTGGAAAGTAACAAAGTTGACCTATGAGTACGACACCGAGCCTTACAGCCTGAGCCGGGACAAAACAGTGACCGCACTGGCCAAAGAACACGGACTCGAAGTCATCTACAAAATCTCACACACTCTTTATGATATAGACAGGTATTAGTCATGTACACATATCAAGGTATATTCACAGGATGTTTGTTTCCTTACAGTTTTACTTAAATGTAATTGTCACTTCTGAAATATTTTATTTCCATATTTGTTTAAGACATTTGACTGTTTGTCATGTCATCATAGGATAATTGAAGAAAACAATGGGAAGCCTCCCATAACTTATAACCGTATGCAGGCAATAGTGAAGACCCTTGGTCCACCTAAGAGACCTATCCCTGCTCTCACCATGGAAGATATGAAAGGTATTACGGACAGCGCTGGATAATGCCAGTTAGTTATCATGTCTTAATGCCAACCAGTTAGTTTAAACATTAAAGGTTTCCACAAATCTAACATACAAGTGTAAAACTTAAGCAGAGGTTGATTGAAATGTATCTTTTTGGTCAAAAGATGTGAAGACCCCTTGTTCTGAAAACCATGAGAAGGAATATGGGATCCCTACACTGGAGGAGCTCAGCCAGAGCACTGCAGCTCTCCGAGAGGAGCAGTTCCCAGGAGGAGAACAGGAGGCTCTAAGGAGACTAGATGAACATATGAAAAGAACGGTACTTCAGTTTCATGCGCATGTATTCTTTCTCTCTACACTTCTTGACACTGAACCAGCTTCCAAACCTGCAATAAAGAACGCCTTATTGAACCTACGATGAGCTTGTGGTGTTTATTACAGAGATACATACAGTATCTGTGTTACATGTTTCATTTGTTTTCTTACTTCAGGAATGGGTGTGTAGCTTTGAAAAGCCACAGACTTCTCCAAACTCTTTGAGCCCCAGCACCACCGTTCTCAGTCCATATGTCACTTTTGGCTGCCTGTCTGCACGCACCTTCTGGTGGAGGCTGACAGACGTCTATCATGGGGTGAGTATCACCATCAGAGTAAAGTTTTTGTAGGTAGCAAGCTATGTTATTGTAATTCCTCAATGTTCAATTCATTTCACCAGTAAAAAGATAAGCAAGATGTTGATGTAAGCTATAGAAACGGCAGAAAATGTGACATAGCTAATGCATGGTGCTGACATTGAAATACCATTAAAGCTTAACTTAGTCTGACTGTTGTGTGTATGTGTGGCATTTGCAGAAGAAGCACTCAGCTCCTCCAGTTTCCTTGCATGGTCAGCTATTGTGGAGAGAGTTCTTCTACACGGCTAGCGTGGGTATCCCTAACTTTAACAAGATGGAGGGCAACCCTGTATGTACACAGGTGGATTGGGACACGAACCTCGAACATCTGGCTGCATGGACAGAGGTACTGGATCCTAAATATTTTAAATGGAAATGAATGAAAAGAAGAGAAATGATGCTGCTGGCAGTAGAGGTGCAATGATTTGTTTATTAATCATTTAGTTGTCTTAATATTTTGATTATCAATAAATCGATTTGAGTCATTTTCTTTAAAGAAAAAAATTAAAAACTTCCCAGAATTCCTTGTGTGATGAAAATGTGAATTCCTGATTTCTTTACCCCTCCATGACAGTAAACTTAATATCTCTGGGTTGTTGACATTACAAGATATTTGGCACAAATATTTCCTTGTGTATTTCCCTTAAGGCTCGGACTGGTTTCCCCTTCATTGATGCCATTATGACTCAGCTGAGGCAGGAGGGCTGGATCCACCACCTGGCCAGACATGCTGTTGCTTGTTTCCTCACCAGGGGAGACCTATGGATCAGCTGGGAAGAAGGACAGAAGGTGTGTAAATGAGCTTGCCAATACCGCTTCTGTAGATCAAATCAAGCTTAATGTCCCCTTCACCATTTGATCAAATGGCTTTGCAAAATTTCTTTTTCTAATCAGAACAATAATTTAAACTAACCAGATTGACCTTAGTAAGTAACTTTAGCTGTTTGGCACTGCAACATACAACAACCCAACAGAATGCTGGAAACATTTACGGGATTTTATCATTATCAAAGGGCTTTACCTATTTAAAGGGGAAGTCTGCCGATTTTACACATCAGTCTGTTTACAGTTCTTAATGAGTTAAAAAAGTTGTCGCCAGGATTTGACAAGGAAGGAGAATGTTTGTATTTAAAAAGATGCATCTGGTTGTCCTGCTCTATTTTGAGCTCTCATGAGTCCAACAGTGTTATAGTAGAGCAATGTTAATTTGTTGGAGAACTCTTTTAACATTTTGTCCAATGCTCCTGAAGGTATTTGAGAAGCTTTTATTGGATGGCGACTGGGCTCTGAATGCTGGAAACTGGCAGTGGCTCTCAGCAAGTACCTTCTTTCACCAGTTCTTCAGGGTCTATTCCCCTGTCGCATTTGGCAAGAAGACAGACAAGAATGGAGACTACATCAAGTAAGTTTAAGTCCAACAAGCTGTGTGTGTGTGTGTGTGTGTGTGAAATCATTTTGACAATTTTGCTTCTACTATTTGCTTCTCTATTTTACAGAAAGTACCTTCCTCTTCTAAAGAAGTTCCCAGCGGCATATATCTATGAGCCTTGGAAAGCTCCACGCAATATCCAGCAGGAAGCAGGATGCATTGTGGGTAAAGACTACCCACATCCTATTGCACAGCATGAAGTGATCAGCAAGAAGAACATCCAGAGGATGAAGTTAGCTTATGCCAAGAGATCTGCAGATCCAGCTGAATCACCCAGAAAAAAACAAGGTACTGCAAGAAACATACTTTTATGAGAGGTTTATCTCCTTTGATTTGTTATGGTAACAGAAAATCCTACTTCTTAAATATTTGTTTTTATGTTTCCCTCTTAGGTGTAAAGCGCAAGACCCCATCTGTCGTTGACATGTTGAAGAAGAAACAGAGAAGAAAGTAATGTTTGCACAAATTAATGCCATACACTATGACAACATAAATTAACTGACTTTATGGGTTTTGGTGTCTGGACTGGAAGCTAAAGTACTCAGTCCACTATATCTTCTTTTTTTATTGCACCATTTATTGGTAACAGTTTATATTTTAAGTACTGTTTTATCTTTACTTTTTATATTGTATCTATTTCAGTATTTAAAAGTGTAAAGTAGGTCAGAAGTATACTTGAAGAATGTTTCTTGCATGGAGATTAAGTTAAAGTTCATAAAGATTGATGGTCTCATCTGGTTTGAATGCTTCAGTTTATATTTAAGACAGGATGTGTGTGCTTCACAAATTGGCCTTATTCTTGTTTAACAGTAATAATGGCCTTACTGTTACACCCTAGATATATTTAAAGTTTAATATTTACTCTGCATTGTACGACTACTCAGGTGTTTATATTCAATTCAGTTAAAAAACATACATACAAAATATGTTCCAGGTCTTCACAAATGAGTTGATGTTTTCAATGCCCATTTTATCAGCTATAGTTTCTGTGTCCATGCTGTGATCTCTAATTTCAGTGGTGTTTTATGGTAAAACAGCAACATGAAAATGTGTGCAGTAAATGGCCAAATTCAACCCAATCTAGTTTAGTGGTGATATTTTAGAATTTTAGAGCTCTCACTATTACCACTAGAGGTCACTGTATTTCTTCCTGCAGACACATTTATCACTTTGTTATTCAGTGATACTGTAAATAATTAATTGAGTCAAGTTAAAGGGGCTTTAATCTGAAGTGTTTAGTTTAAGAATATTTCTGAATACATCTGACAAGACATTTTTAAACAGTGCAGCACAGAAAAATTTTAAATCACCAAATTTATATTGCCTGTAAAAGTGAAATAAATTCAACAGTGATATCATTTTGTGGTGTTTAAAAAAATCTTAATTCTAATACCCCACACAAAGTTAATATTCCATTTTACCTCCAGTGTGCAGTAATTCCAACCTAAATCTGTTTTTTGGGAATAATTATTTTTTCAGCGTAAAATGTTTAATTAAAAACAGAAACAGGCCAATTCTATCTCATTCGTCATGATGGCCATCAGCTCCTGTCTAATCAGGAGAATGCTGCAATATTATAAAGGCTCATTAGTCAGTATAGGATAACATACTGTATGTTTAGAGTCTGTGCATGTGATTGGCTGAAGGCACTGTGCGCAGTGCTGTGCTATGTAAAGTCATGATGTGTGTGTGAGAGTGTGTGGGGCACACAGCTGTCTGTGGAGTTCAAGTCTTCTCCCCTTTCTGCTTCCTTGGAGCTGACACTGGTGTGAATATCCAGAAGATGATGTCACAACCTCAACAGCGGCTCCAGACGCCTGTACAAAGCCAAGCTCAGTTTCCACAGAGACCTGTCAAACATCAAAACAATCTGCTGTCCAAGTGTGTAGATGTGTGGTGGGTACACCTGGCGCCGGGCCCCCCAGTAAACTCATAGTAGAGCCATGCAGGTCTGGCTTGACTGAAATCACTCAGTTAATCACAAATTTATTTGATATTTACTATGCGAGACAATAGTCTAAAAGTCCAGTTTATAATTTCTGAATTTTGGGCCCTATAAACATGTTAAATTGGCCTCGGCCCCAGAAAGATTCATTAATCTGTGGCCAAAATCCCAATTATGTCTGCGTCCACATTTGTCCACTGTTGTGCCCCTCTCCCTGTCTGTCTGTGTCGACACCTCACCACTCAGACCATCTTGGAAGTGGGTGCTGTAATATTCCAGTTGGATTAGAACAGCATGTTCCCATGCAGCTGGTGTTTCATGTTGCTTTGATAGTAGTGATTTATCTCAGGTGTTTATTTGCTCCAGGGACAGCAACATCAAACAGATAATCCCCACATAGCCTTTATTTTAACAATTCCATGGCCCTAATAATAGAGCAAAGGCTCGTTAAAGATCATTAGGGCACCATTTGTATGAAATGTTTTTCATCAACTAACATTAAAATAATATGAATGCACTTAACCAATTCATTAGGCAACAAAACCAAACAAGGGGAATTGTCCAGTACTACTGATTCATTTGAAGCAAGAGCTGGCTTCATTGGCTTAAAGTGGGTGTGTCCAAGTTTACGTCACCTCGTGAAACACTTTCTGATTATTACCACAACACCGACAAATATATTAGTAGACTCTTAGCGCTCTGTCACTCAGCCTAAAGACACATGTACTGAGTCTACCTGGTGAGAAGCTACAGACAGAACCTGTTCATAACATTTTACACTGCTTAATTGCACACAAAAATAAAACTACATTAACATTAATTTTGGCTGACATTGGCACAAGTCAAAGGCATCATGGTTTGCTGGAGACCGAAAGCAGGTGTTCTCTTCAATGACCAGTCACCAAAACTAGCAACAACAGAGGACGATTAGTGAGGCTGATTTCTGCAAAGACTTCAAAACTTTCTCTTTTAGTTGCACAAGTGACAGAACTGGTGGAAGAGCGAAGGACAAGAGGAAGTTGTGAGTGAAAGGTTCATGACCACATGCTGAAAGGTCACTATTTATTGGACGTCTATGGAGCTGGTAAATAAATGCCGCAGTGAAACTGAAGAGCTGACAGTTGTCCAACCTGCTTCATACCATTTTGTTTATCCCGATCTCCATCAGAGCAGACACACACACACACACACACACACACACCTCTGCACACTTCCTGAACAACAACAGTCCTCTAGACCTGGGCTTGTCCATTACCACTCTGGTTCTAATGACTGATTATAACATTTTACATTTTCCCCACAGTAACCTCCATTTATTTCTGATAGTGCACAATTATGTTTGTAAAGACAGATAATGGTGTCAACAAAGCCAGAGGTAGTGATCTCAGTGAGCATCATCTGTAGCCCCCCTATAAATCTGCCAGACTAAGCCACAACAGGATTTTGAGAAGCGCTATACATAGCAAAACATGAGGCAATGGGCATGCAATGTTGAAATCATGCCCTCAACAGACCCCATCTGAATTCAGATTTGGAGAGGGATTGTTAAAACAGTGACATGATTATTAGTTTTGGGGAAAGGGGGCTATGACATGGATGACAAAAATTAATGGAAAGAAAACATTTGTCCATCAAACTAACAACTGGAGAATCTTTTATTTACATTAGTCCTATTTTTGGGAGAAGAGACAGAGGTCTCTCTTTTACCTCTGCCTAACAACATAATTGCTCATTTCCCTGTATCTTCATATACAGTATCTCACAAAAATGAGTAAAATAAAAATAAAAATGAGTACACCCCTCACACAACACTGAAGAAATGACACTTTGCTAAAATGTAAAGTAGTGAGTGTACAGCTTGTATAACAGTGTAAATGTGCTGTCACCTCAAAATAACAAATCACACAGCCATTAATGTCTAAACTGCAGGCAACAACGGTGAGTACACCCCTAAGTGAAAATGTCCAAATTGGGTCCAAAGTGTCAATGTTTTGTGTGGCCACCATTATTTTCCAGCACTGCCTTAACCCTCTTGGGCATGGAGTTCACCAGAGCTTCACAGGTTGCCACTGGAGTCCTTCTCCACTCCTCTTTGATGACATCACAGAGGCTAATGGGGCTGACTGTGAAAGTATCAGGCATGTTTGTTTTACTATAATAATAATATTAATAATAATACATTTTTATTATTATATGTAGCCAATTTGCTACATTACAATTACGCTTCACACAACAGCTGCAGCTGTGTTTGCAACCCAACCTTTCTTTTCTCTGTGAGAGGGAAGAATTCAGAAAGTTGCATGACACGAGAGCCCCCAGCAGCAGATCACGCGTAATCTTTATCCAGCCAGAGGGAACAATCACGAACTGTTCACAGCACGTTGGTCGTACTAGCGACACAACCCATAGGAGCGACCGGCCCGCTGCGGATGGTCGGTGATCGTTCCCTCTGGCTGGATGAAGTCTGATGCTCCTAATTTTAGACGTGGATCCATGATGATAGAGAAATCTAGAAATGAACAGCAATAAAGCATGCTGTCAATATTTTAGAGACCCCCCCAAAGTATCACAAATCATGCTTTTAGGGGAGCTAATGTCTTTTTAAAGGGAGCTAAGCTCCCCCTGGCTCCCCTGTTCACACTCTTAGGTCATCTTTATGTAAAGCAACCATTCTTTTTTTCAGATCCTCACAGAGTTCTTTGAGTTCTTTTTAGGTGCCATGTCGAACTTCCAGTGACCAGTATGAAGGAGTGTGAGAGCAATAACACCAAATTTAACATACCCGCAACCTATTCATACCTAAGACCTTGTAACACTAACAAGTCACATGACACTGGGGAGCAAAAATGGCTAATTGACCCTTCACTAAACCATACCCCGCATACACAGCTGGCCAATCACAGCGCAGCATAGGAATCGCTCTAACTAAGGTCCGACACTTTCATGGATGCGCTCCATTGACGATTTGTCTAAGATATGGTCAAACGCTGTTCCTGGGGTACTGGTAATAGTTACAGTTGCTACCGAGAGAGGTTGAAAGGAGAACTATGATTTATTCTCTTTCCCAAACCTAAAATAAATCCAGAAAACTTTTTTCGTAATGTAATGTTAGTTAGCCCTACTGTTCTGCTTTTTAATGATTTTAATAATGAGTAGAGGCCTACGCAGCTTTACAGGAACAGTGTTGATAGTTCATATCAATGTCTTTTGTCTCAGTCATCGGGGGATGCGGTGGTTCACTTGTACTGTGTGATTGGTAGACTTTAGCTTCTATCTTTTATTTTTTTCACGTCCGTTTAAGTCAGTTTGACAGCCTGAATACAACCTTCAAATGTACAGTATAATGCAACTGCGAAACTGTATGTATCTTTCTGAGATCGCTTTTTCCAACAACTTACAACAATATTTCTCCAGGGAGTGCACTAATAGACAGTGGCAGCGGACAGTTTGACGACTTAGCAACAGTAACTAAGGGTCAATTGGGCCCAGTTTGGACATTTTCATTTACTCACTTTTATTTCAAGCGGTTTAGACATTAATGGCTGTGTGATGTGTTATTTTGAGGGGACAGCAAATTTACACTGTTATACAAGCTCTACACTCACTACTTTACATTGCAGCAAAGTGTCATTTCTTCAGTGTTGTCACAAGAAAAGATATAATCAAATATTTACATAAATGTGAGGGGTGTACTCACTTTTGTGAGATACTTTATATGGTTCAGCATTATGAAATCTCTGTCCAACCATCAGTAGTGGGTAAACCACGTGGGGGAAACACTGTCAAATGGAGTCACATGACAGAGTCTGCTAGCATCTGTAGTGTTTCCACATGCTGCTGTACTTTGATCTCTCTGTACACACCCGTTCAGAATATCCAGACCACGCTGAGGCAACTGTGTTTTCCAGCCCCCTTCACAGAGGACTGACAACCAGTCACACACAAGACTCTGCAGTCCATACATGTCAATCACTGCAGTGTGTATGTGAGTGTGTGTGTGTGTAGGGTGAGTTGTATGTGAATCACTCATAAAATCCAGTGTGAAATGCCAAGCTGTGGGAACATTTTTTTTTCGCTGGGGGGGGGGGGGGGGTGTTGGTAAAAGTCCCTCATCCTTACGCCTGTAAATCTGTA